CAATGTCATGCCTTTTGGACTCACGAATGCACCAGCTGCTTTTCAACATCTCATGAATGATGTATTTCGTGAATTCTTAGACAATTTTGTCGTCTGCTACTTAGACGATATCCTGATTTATTCTAAGAATGTTGAAGAACATGAAATACATGTTCGTCAAGTATTACAAAAACTTAGAGATGCAGGATTGTACGCCAAGATAGAAAAGTGTGTATTTCACACTACTTAAGTTGACTTTTTAGGATACATCATTTCAAATGATGGTCTTATGATGGATTCTAAGAAAGTCCAAACAATCATGGATTGAAAGATTCCAAAGACTGTAAGAGATGTCCAATGTTTCTTGGGATTTGCCAATTACTATCGGATCTTCATCAAAGACTTCTCACGAGTTGCAGCTCCACTTACACGCTTGACTAGTAAAGATAAATTCCAATGGAATCAAGAAGCGGAAGCAGCATTTGAAGCCTTGAAGACATCGTTTGTCTCTGCACCAGTCTTATATCGTGTTGACTTTTCTAAGGTATTTTTTATGGAAACAAACGCATCGGATTTTGCCTTGGGTGCAGTTTTATCACAAATGGGAACAGATGACAAACTTCATCCGATAGCTTTTCATTCAAGAAAATTCTCAGCAGCCGAGATCAATTATGAGATCCACGATAAAGAACTTCTTGCGATCGTGGATTCCTTTCAAGAATGGCGTCATTATCTAGAAGGTGCTTCTAGTCCAGTCACTGTGTATACAGATCACAAGAACCTCGAGTATTTCATGTCAGCACGCGTGTTGAATCGTCGTCAAGCTCGTTGGAGTATGTCTTTGTCAAGATTCGACTTCATTATCAATTATTGGCCAGGAAAACAACAAGGTTTGTCCGATGCCCTGTCTAGACGTTCTTATTTTGCACCAAAAGAAGGAGATGCAGCTTTTGAGCAACAAAGAACGGTCCTCTTGAAACCGGAGCAATTTCATCTCCGAGCAGTGAAATCAACATTGACTGTTGATTCAACTTTTCTCAAGCAAATCCAGTCCAGTATGTCCTCAGACCCTCTTGTTCATGATATCGAGAATAATTCTTCCAAGTCTCATGATTCTTCTAAGTTCGAGTTCAAGAATAATCTATTATATTTTGAAGGACGCCTATATGTTCCAGAAGGAAAAGCACGTTTGCGTGTTCTTCAAGCACGTCATGACTTTCCAGCAGCAGGGCACTTTGGATATAATAAGACTCTGGAACTCATATCAAGAGATTTTTGGTGGCCACAAATGTGGAAGTCAGTCAAAGACTTTGTACAATCATGTGATATTTGTTCAAGATCAAAAATTCCTCGACATCGACCTTACGGACTTCTTCAGCCATTACCTATACCAGAACAACCATGGTCTTCTGTTTCTATGGATTTCATCACAGATCTTCCAAACTCAAGATCTTATGATTCTATATTTGTGATAGTAGATCGTTTCACCAAGATGGCACATTTTATGCCATGTACAAAATCTATCACAGGTGAAGAAACAACTAAGCTTTTCATTGATAATATCTATCGCTATCATGGATTACCTAAAGATATCATATCGGATAGGGGAACTCAATTTGTGTCGAGATTCTGGAGGACTCTTTTCAAGATTTTAAAAGTGGATATAAAGCTATCTTCAGCTTTCCATCCTCAAACTGATGGACAAACAGAGCGCGTAAACCAAGTCTTGGAACAGTATTTAAGGTGTACCATCAACTACCAACAAGATGATTGGACAAACCTTCTGCCATTGGCAGAGTTTGCTTATAATAATACGGTACATTCCTCCACGCAACAAACACCTTTCTTTGCCAATTATGGCTATCATCCACGACTTGATACTTTTGATTTTTCAAAAGTTGATAATCCTGCAGCAGAAGATATGGCAAATCGGTTGTCAGAGTTACATGCAATAATGAAGGCGCAGTTGAAGAAAGCTCAAGAACGACAAAAGATAAATGCAGATGTATATCGTAAAGAGCAACCACAACTCAACGTGGGTGATAAGGTATGGCTACTTCGTTGCAATATCAAGACCACTCGACCTTGTGACAAATTGGACTATCGTAGGCTTGGCCCCTTTTCTGTTTCTGAACAGATCAACCCAGTTGCATATCGGTTACATCTACCGGAGTCAATGAAGATCCATCCTGTATTCCACGTGTCTCTTCTTGAACCATATAAGACAGTGGATATACAAGGAAGAAGACAAATGCCACCGCCTCCTATAGAAGTAGATAATAATGAAGAATTTGAGGTGGAAGAGATATTAGACTCAAGGCGGCGCCGAAATAAGCTAGAATATCTTGTTCATTGGCGCGGATATGATATTAGTGAGCGCACATGGGAGCCATCCAGGAATCTAGCAAATGCATCAGCTAAAGTCAAAGTTTTTCATCAACGACATCCATCAAAACCAAGATGAAAACCTCTCTTATAAAAGAGACAAGATTGAGGCAAGATAACATTCAATTTCCTATCCTTGTTTGTAACTTCTTTGCATTTGTGACGCTAATTAGATGGAGAGCCAACAACCAGTGGATTCAACTCAAGAACCTTCGTTTGCTGACTTACCGGATGAGACATTGTGATTGTCACAACCTTCAAGACGACGCAACCGAGATGAAGATCCTCAAGAACGACATGTTCTTCCTCGAATAGATGGTGAGATACAACGCGTTTGGTATCACGACCTTGGAAGAGATTCTCGATGTTTGGTGATATTATTGGAGATAGGAACGACTCCTGATGGTGTTTCAAATGTATTATTTGAAGGAAGTTATGAAGGCCTCAACAGTGATCAAATAACAGGGTGGTCTTCTCGCCCTGGAATGGGACACTATCGATGGCTAAGAGGACCCATCAACTATCTTCGAAGAGAACAAAGATCAGAGTATGTAGCAAATACAATTCGCCGCATATTAGATTTTCTCAATATATAATCACCGCTCCTCGTGGAACTCGTCCCTAGAAGGGGGGGTAATGTCACGGACATACATATAATTACCTATATGAATAAATAAAAGTATGTAAAAGTAGATAAAAGTAGGTTAATTGTGTAATATCTTCTAGAGAAGCTTCTTAGAAGCTTCATAGACGCTGCTTTGACTTTATAGGAGTCTATAGTTGACTTTTAGGTTAGAAACTTGGTCAACAAGTTAGCCATGTGCCACACATGTTGGAAGCTTAAAGAACAAGCTAACTACGTGGTCCATCCATAGAAAACTTGCCTTGCAAACAAAGGCATGTGGCCTAGAAAGTCAACATATAATGGAGGTCTTATAGAACATCGCCACGTGGCTTCTAGTTAGATAGTATATATAGAGGCAAGAGTGAAGCCCTCTTCACTCTTGTCAACTCCTTTCTTGCTTCTAGTCTAGTTTCAAGGGTCTCTAGTTTTCTTGTATTTTGGCAATAGCCATTCCAGTTTCTTTCTTAATATACATATTTCTATTTTGTCCCATTTCTTTTTGAGAAAAGTCTCACTTACTCTTTAGCTTTCATCGAGTTCTTATCCTTGACAGTGAGTCTACAACTTTTCTTGTAGAAACACCACTCTTAAGTTGCACCAATGCTTGGTGCTTCAATGATTCACACAACTGAGGCATAGAGATACAATTGACAAATCAACTTTCACTATAGATAGTACACAACAAGAGCAACACAACAAACAAAAAATGCCCTCAAATCTTGCAACAAGGAGTGTACATTGAAATTTCGAAATTTAGCAAGAAGAAGCAACCAAAACTGAGTACGCACGTCTGTGTGCTTCTACAACACTTTTCTCATAAACCCTACCTCAAATGATAATGAGATTTTTCATCCATGTAGAGGACTGGATGAATACACACAATAAAAAAGTAATTCTATCAATTGACTTATGTGTCAGTTGGAAGGATCAATGAACTATGAGTGTTCAAATTTTATACTCGGTTTTGTTTGTCACTGTAGATGTCTTTTTATTATGGCTTATATTTTAAAATAAGAATAATACAAAGTTATTCTAAAACTTCCATTGGAATTATTAAAAGATATTTTATTAAATTTAAGTATGTAATAAAATTATTTATTATAATATATATAAATAGAAAAATATCTCTAATAATGTAGGATAATTTTTAACATGTAGTATCATAAAGCCTAGTTACGTGGTCTAAATTGCTATAAGATATTATTAATTTCCAAGTCTTTAATATTATTCAAGGGCATGGATATTTTGGAACCCTCTTTAGCTATTTTGATATCTTCAAAGTTACTAGTAAAAGACACTTTTACTCTCAAATAAACTAATTAGTAATTTTATGAGGTACTAATATAGTCAATAAGCATAAGGAGAGGTAACAAAATATCCATGTTCTTATTTAAACATGTATTTTATAATGTTAAGAAAGTTTTTGAATCTTTATATATATATATATATACACACACACACACACACACATATATATATATATATATATATGCAAACACAAGTTTCAACTATTTTTTGAACATTTTACAAATGCAAGTTCTACTTCTTTTTTTTTTATTTTGAGCTTCTAGATGTGATTGGTATACAATAACTTATCATTGTATCAATTTGCATGTTGTATACTTCAAATAGTCAAGAAGTCCATTACCAAGTTACTAAAATATTAATACATATTTATACAATTATTCAAATAATAAAACAAAAAAAAGATTAACAAAAATTGTTACATTTGTTATATAAATATAACATGTGTTATAAAAGGAAGATCCAATTTGATAGGATTGTATGGTGAAATTCAGACCAAGTAGATTGTATGCACATTAATTTATAATTCCAAAATGGATTATCATAATCTCATGAATCCCCGAAGAATGGATTTGCATTGGAACAAGTCAAGGGTGGAATTTACTCACTCTAAGGAATTAGTGCCCCCCCCCCCTAGTGAGTGGCTTCTTCTGGTCCGTGAAGCGGGGCGAGGGGGTGGGGCTCGATTTCTTTTGCCTTGTCACCTCGTCCCACCCCTCCCGGCTCCACCCTCCCGCCCTGGCTTCCTCGTCGCCTGTCTGTCGCCACAGCTCGGGCTTCCTTGCTTCCTTGCATTCCAATTTACATGAGTTGTTCGGCTTGTGGCCCTGACGCCAGATTCGATCGGCCCCCTTCATCTCTCAGATGTTTCATCTCCGTTGAGGCATTCGTAGTGAGTCTTGGCTTGCGTTGCAATCAATGACAAGGGCCTTGAAGCGCGTTGCCCAGAGGTTGCCGCTGCTCTTCTGTGGAAATTCGTCTTTGACCTAGGGTTCCGAGTGTTCTTCCTGCTTGTCGGGAGTATCTGGGGTTTCCGACGTGTGATTGATTGAGTAAGTGAGTGAGTGAGTGAGGGAGGGAGGGAGTGACTGCGGTGATTGGAGGCTCTGGTGGTGGCGGTGGAGGAGGAGGTGGTGGAGGGGTATTGGAGCGGGAAGTTCGTTTGGTTGGAAGGTGGATCAAGAGGGGACTGGGAGTGGGCGTGAGGGAGTAGTATCGTTGTGGAAGGAGCTGAGCTGATTCGCAGTGAGTCGGAATGCAACAGAGTTTGGAAAATTTTGCGTCGGAGGTTTTAATGCGGGCTAGAAGTCGCGGCGGGGGATGGGAAGGGAAGGGTCGGGTTGTGGAAACGGGTGACGAGTATGTCGTTTCTTGTATGATGTGCGGCTAAAGAGAATTGCAGCCTCTGAGAGTGCCAGGATGAAGCCCTAGATATTTTCCTTCGGAGGACTTGGAGTGTTGAAAATTTGTGGTGACGAGATACTAGGCCTGGATTCCCTAGCTTCAGAAATATGCAGTTCATTTAGAGTTCATTGGTTGTTGCTGAGTTGCGCCTGTGGATATTGGTTTTATGGAAGGTGGTTTGGGGCTTGTGAAAAGCAACGTGGATATGGAATATGGTCTCTCCAGCAAACCTAACGAACCCTCTTTTTTGCCAACGATAGTGTCGCCCTCTATTACATTTGCTTCAGTTTCGTCAGAAGTTGGTACGCTTGTGCATTCCGAGCGTGCCCCGGCTTCCACCTCCGTTTCTTCGTTCTCTACCCCATGGGAACACACTACCTCCCAGAAGACGGATATGACTGCAGTAATATCTGTGTGTCCTTTTTGCAACGGAACAGGTGGTTTGCCCTTCCCTCATATGCATGCTATTTCTATCGTCGTTTCTAGCTACTTATTTAAGAGTTTGAGAACAAAATGTCTCCTATCTAAAAATCGAAGATCGATCCTCAGCTCACGAACAATTGGAAACATAGCCAGTGTTGAAGTAAGAGTGTGGCAATGTCTGATGTTTGACGTAGTGGCCTGATGGTCATTGAGAAATTCATTTTTTAGTGTAAGGCCGTCCATGATAGGTGCACTCTCCCGTGTCTCTTTCCTTTCGCTGTTTTATTGACTATAGCGTATGTCAACATTAGACCTCGTGCAATAGGCTTCTATTTCCATTTGTCGTAGCTGTGTAATGGTCGATTCCCAGATACCCCCCCCCCCAATATCTTGGCTTTTCTAGTTTATCTTCTTTTTGAGCCACAGCTTGCTAACTATGCACCTGTAGAGATTGCTTCTGATTCGGTGACACTGCTCGTTTTCATTGGACTTTTCATTTTTATCAACTGGTTGTTAATGAAACTTCAATACTGCCGCGCTCTAGCTGTGCTGGTGCTTTAAAGAATCCTGCTTCCATGAATTCCTCAATACGTTGGTAATTATTTTCTCTCATGGATTATCTTTTTTCAGGGACGAATTTGTCACTTGGAAGTGTGAATACTGACAAGGCTAGAGGGTCTTCTGTGGAGTACTGGCAAAAGACGGCAAACGATCTTTCTGTACAGAATGAGGAGCTCCGGAAACAGTTGGCAGTCTTCCAACAATCTAAGGGCGTGGCAGTACAAGAAGTGCTGACGCAGCTTTTCGTTGAAAAAGTGCAAGATGTGTCTGGAGTTGAGGGTATCGTTGATTCTTTCTCACATGGTAAGGTTAAAGAGGATTTTGTTGAATCAAGACTCTCTCTCTCTCTCTCTCTCTCTCTCTCTCTGTCTGTCTGTCTTTCAAAAGATGCATTAAGTCTTTAACTAGACTGGCCTGTCCCGCATTGGCCCTAGCTACGCTCGTCCTCTGGTCGTGTTTACGAAGTGAATGGATAGCACTTCATCCAAATGAATTTCACTTTTAGATTTTTGCAGTTCTATGTATTACTTCGGGTGCTTGCTCCAACACTTCAGCGGGTCTCTCACTCGGTTTTAACAGCGACAATGTTCTGGAATATGACACAGCCGATGCTGAGACACAAGAGCCAGGTAGTGCGAAATCTGCTATCAAGAAAAGTTTATCTCGGTCGTCATTGACACAAATGGATTTATCCGAGGGGTTGGAGAAGAATCTCGTGATGGAGCTGTCTGAAATGGAATATTATGAGCACTTCCGGGGACTCGACAGGCTTGACGCAGTGGAAGTGCTTGAAAGGACCAACAATATTGAGTTACTCCTTCAGATGGTCCTGAAGGATGTACCAGTTATTATATCTCATTGCGATAAAGAGCTTACTTACACATATGTCAAGTAAGAAACGAGCTGCTGGCATGTTAATTAAGATTTGCGCCAAAACTGGTGTTTTCTAGGTTCTCTTAGGTACCCTGATTGCGTGTGTGTAGTCGGCAGGTTTTCGAAAATTTGATGATTCAGAAGAGGTTGTGCGGGCATCGTAGGCTTTTACCTCCTCTGACAGTGATACGGCTTTTATGACAGGTTTGTAGATCAGCCTTTGACCAAAGTTCCTCCTGAGGTGCGTGTAACCATTTCCACACATCGCCATGCACACGAATGGTCGAATTGTTTGTCTGTTTATGCCTATGGAAGATGGCTAAATCTTCCAGGTTCTGTCGATATTGTGAACTTACTTTGTCCGTGGTGTCATATTTGGGTAAGTTGTTCTCCGTCCTGGAGCTTAAGGTTTGTTCTTGCAGGTGGCATATTTTTTTAAACAAAACTTCATTCTTCTTCTTTACATTCAGTGCATGTGTCCAGGGAATGAAGGGGAAGAAAGACACTGAACTTGTAGGACTTGTTCCTGGAGCTTTGGAGACCATGAGGATTAAGAAAGAAGTTCTTGAATTAGGACTAGCTCAAGGAAAGGAACTTACGATTTCAATGGACGGTTTTGGCAAGAGGTGGCTAGTTGTGGCATGTGAACCACTTCGGAACAAAGCTGGGGAGATTTTGGGAGTAATTACTGCATGCATGGATGTGACTGAGCAGGTTCTTTACTTTTCGTATACTACTACTCATTACACTTGATTTCCAGTGGCACTTTGTGGTTGAGAAGAGAGTAATTTTCCCTTCAAGCTTAATTCATATTTATGAGGGAAGCCCGCGTAATTGTGCTCAAGTCAGCTTGTCCACCCTTGATATGGATTTGCAGGCATTAGCAAGGGAGAAACTTGCACAAATGAGAGAGGAGATGGCTGTACGAGAAGCAACCGAGAAAGAGTTGCGAAGGGCTATCAGATTGGCAGGTGTGGGTTCGATTTACACATTCTTTGGTGAAGCATATGCTTGGGGTTTAGTCTATGGATTCAATAAGACAGCTCAGAAAACAATATGGTGGTATTGTGGAAACAAGTTTGAATGTTCTTGAACCCTGGTCTTTAAGTAGGTAAAGTGACTAAGGTCCCCATGGTTGTTTCTAAGCAAGCTGACCCTGTTGAATATTTATGCAGATGAAGCAATGGAGGCGAAGAACAGATTTCTTGCCGTTATGTCTCATGAGATACGTACTCCGTTGAATGGTGTATTTGGTATGTTTCACTTCACCATTCTCCACATGATAGGTTTGAATGTCTTTAAAATGTTTCCAAAATGCTGTGCTAGTGGGCATATAGGTTCAAGACTGTATCTGTTCGCCAGAAAACCGAAGTTTTAGAAAGGCTAGTAGTTGCCAATGCTGTTCTGTTGATATCCTTAAGATTAATGTCATGGTTTAGGAATGGCCCAAGTATTGGCTACCACCCCGTTGGATCCAGAGCAGAGGGAGCTTGTGTCTGCTATGGTCTTCAGTGCAGACGTGTTGCTCGCAATCATCTCGGATATACTTGACCTTAGCAAGGTTGAAGCTGGTATGTTATTTCTTTAGTTCATTTAAGTAATTTAGAATAATACATCGTTATGTCATTTTAGACGGCTCATCGTTACGTAAGATATGGTATGTTGAGGCGTATCGCTTTTGTCAGATAATTGATATTCAATTTGTTTTGTTCTGTTTTGGTCTTTTCTTTTAAAATCTAATTGTACGTATTGAACGCACTGCATGATGTTTGCTTGTGTAGGTACCATGAAATTGGAGGAAAGGGAACTCAACCCGAGGGATATTGTAAAACATGTAGTTAGGACAGCTATAGCTGCGAGTAAAGATCGTGGTATCACTATTCAGGCTGATATTGCAGATGACGTTCCTTCAATGGTATTCGTCCAGCCCATATCTGATGATTCTGCTTAAATAGTCTACTTTACGTAATGTGCAGCTTGCGATTCCAAAGCAACAGTCCATCATTTCCTTCCTCGTTTACTAATTTTTCAGTTGATTGTGTTTACTTCGTCTGTGATTTAGGTCTACGGTGACCCTTTGCGAATTAAGCAAGTGATCACCAATCTGGTAATGAACCAGTTCCATGAATTTTGAAATGATGTTGACTTGATATCATACTGCTCTGATGTAAAATTTGCGTAAATGTCGTATCTCATCAATGCGAAACCTGCAGGTATTTAATGCTGTCAAGTTCACCAGAAAAGGTCACGTGAAGGTTCGATTGCATATCGCGAAATTTCCAATCGATGAAAGAGAGACCGACGTGAATCTAGATGTTTCAGACACGTTGGCCAAAATAAACAAACTTGGAGGCACCGAAGGTGCTGGGGAGAAAATAGAAAGAAATTCGTCAGACATGTTGAGAAGGTCTTCTTTATTGAATCTTGGACTTTGTCACATTAGGAGTGATGAGAGTTGGGATCCTTTGATGGAAGGTGGCCGCAGAGACCTACCTGAACTGCCTATCACCGAGGATGAGATGATTGAGATGGATGTTACTACCCAAGGTCAGTAAATCTAACTCAAACTAAATACCTTTAAGAATTTGCTCATTTATTTCTTTGTGTGCAGAAGCATTGACCAAGTCAATTTTTGCTTGATGTAGGAACTCACTGCCTTGGAATCCGTGATTGCATGTGGTTGTTCTGTTTACATGTTAGAACTCTACGAGTCGTTTGAGCTTTGATTGACCTCCAGTTGTCGTGGGTTACTGAGACACTAGGATCAGCTACTGGACGTGTACATAACAAAAGACTTTTAAAGATGCACAGCACAGGAGACTTGTTTCAGGACGGGCACGAAGATGTAAGTTTCTCCTTCTGATAGCTTACTAGTGGAAGTTCGTGTCTCTTGACCCGTTTAGCATGTTTTTGATGCCTCTATATGTATCAAGCGTGTTACTACATCTATTGGAGTGCAATAAATTATATGCAGTACTTTGATAGTGGTTGTGAAAGCCTGAAGTGTGGAAGGGGGGGGGGTTATTACGTGAGTTTAAATAACAATACAGGATGTTTTCGACTCTTTCTTTATTAGGTTGTATTCTTTTTAAATTATTTTAGTGTTCTTATTTGAAAGGAAAACAAGTAGCTAAATAGTAAAACATGCACATCATGCAGGATCGTCGACTATCCGAAGGTAACGAGAAGACTAGTAAGACTAGCGACCAAGTATCTAGGGACTTTTGGCTTAAGTTTGAAATTGAGGATACCGGCATAGGTATTTCATCTAATCCCATCTTATTCTTCTACGAGTTAGTATAATTGGCTTGGAAAGTTCATTTGATATCGACAAATAGTTTCTCTTCTTCAATAGCTGTGGAATGAAGCTTTAAATATGTGCAAATTCTGGTTCGACCACTACTGTACTAAAAAATTAAATGTATATAGCGGCCTATAAGCATCAGTTATCCTTCATTACCTGCAAATAAACGTATCCTATGGTGTTTTTTAAATAGGTATACCGAAGGAAGCCTTGCCAACTCTCTTTGAGAAGTTCACATTGGTGCATTCTTCAACCACTAGGAAGTATGGTGGAACAGGCTTGGGTTTGGCAATTTGCAAGCAGCTGGTATGGCCAAATGATTTGTTTGTTATTTGCAACTACATCTAGTTAATGTTTATGCAGAAAATTTCAGATGGGTTTTCTTCTTGTTGAAGTTGGGTGTGGATACATGATGACATGCTATGGTTAGGTGACAAATCACATTTGAATAGGTCAAGACTGGTGAACTACATAAACGTACATTTTTTCCTGAATCTATTTTCTTGTTGTTCAGTAGCTTCTCCGTCTTGTTGAGTGAAGTACTTGGTTATAACCTTAGCATTGACAGGTCACTTGCTATTGTGATCCAGTTAAGCACTTCACTTGAATATGGTCTGAGTTGCTGATGGTCATGTTCTGGGTAATCTTAGTAGTTAATATTGATCACAGGTAGAGTTGATGGATGGACACATATCCGTGATCAGTAAAGTGGGTAAGGGCTCAACCTTCACCTTTACTATACGTTGCAAGAGGCCGCCAGTGACCTCAGGGTCCTCGGGGCCTTCTAAGCTTGTTAGTGAAACCAAAATGAAAGAGAACCTGTCGCACTCAACTGCCAACGTTCACAAACTTCAAGCTGGAATGTGGAATCCTACAAAACAAGACACATTTTTTCCCAACTTGCAGGCATCTCAAGCCCATGAGGATGATCGAGGGACAAGACGGACAACACTCATAGACGCAGTCTCGCATAGAATTCCGATTAAACTGCCTCGAGGCTCGCTGAAAGTACGCACCACTAACGACACTGATTACTCTGGATTTTTAGGAGATTCCCGAGTAAAAGCTAGGTTGTGGAAACAAGAGTCATATTCTCATACTGCCTCATGGGCAGCACATCAGGGTGCGTGGAAGGAGAACGATTGCCGCGATAGGGGTGGCGTCAATAGAGGAGGGCTGCGAAGGACTTCCAGTGGTCCTTCTCGCATTGAATGCTTGATGATGGCTGATTTGGATCATTCTAATACTTTTCCTTCGATGACCACTGTTGCTCCCACAAATGACAATAAGTTGCCTTCTCTTCTTTTGGCGGAGGATAATAAGGTGAGCATGTATAAGCAATTCCGAATGAAGCTTTCTTTAGTGCTTCCGCATTCTGATTCTTCTGCATTGAGAACATTCATTTCTATCTACCAACAGTGATGCGATATTTTTGCTCGGTTTTTTGTCGGGAACGCACACCCGCCTAAGACGAAATGTCTGATAGCTACTCAGAGTTTGGTCCTCGACATACTTGGTTGTTCATTAAGTGTTGATTTATGACAGAGGACTCTAGACTGATGTGTGCGTTTGTGAAGGTCAATGTGATGGTGGCCTTATCGATGCTCAAGAAACTTGGATTATCTGCGGATGTCGCCTGTAATGGAATGGAAGCAATCAAGGCTCTCCAAGGAAAACACTACGATTTGGTATAGGTTCCTACCACACTTTCTTTCCGTAACCTTTCTGTAACATGACATTTATTGGTTGTACGTCCTTACAAATTCATCGTTAAGTCCTTTAAATTGAAAAATGAGAACCAACACCATCATACTAAGACGACTCAAATTCTGTTTTTTGCTTTGTCTCGATTTGCACAACCGTGTGTTGGTAGTGTTTCAGTTAATTTTCTTATGCTATTTCTTTGTAGATATGGCTTATGTCTCATACACTAGGTTTCTCTGATCTGATGGGAGGCATTACGGATGTAGGTGCTAATGGACATATGCATGCCTGTCCTGGATGGGTTGGAGGTGACTAGACGAATTCGAAGGTATGAGAAATTAGGCTACTGGGATGACGAAAGTACTCTCAAACCTTCTGGTCGAAATCCAGATTCAACAGGTGCTTTCGAGGAACTCCCATCGGAGGTTTTTCACAATCAACATCAATCGGTTGCACGAGTTGGAGCGGAAAAGGTGAAACGGATACCGATTATTGCAATGACTGCAAATGCACTGTCGGATTGTGAAAAGCAATGCTCAGCAACTGGAATGGACAGCTTTATGACTAAGCCCGTCACATTTAAGAAATTGAAGGATGTTCTTTCTCTGCATCTTCCTTCCAAGTCCTCGCTCTCATCTCCTTAAGCAGAAGAGCAAGCATTTTTGGCTCTCTCTCTCTCTCCCTCCCTATTTCTTTCTTTCATTTTCTTTCTTGTAATTGTAATTTTCTAAAATTTCCTTTCAAAATCTGGTCACGACACTTGCTCTGTCAACGTGTACCCATACATGTTCCGTTCTTGAAATCGAGGAGCTGGCACATTGCAAAGATTAGTACTTGAAGACTTCGTGTATTCAGAATCTCTAATAATGTGTAGTAGGTCTCGATTTGGAGAGATGAGCTTTTGGCCAGCCCATCATTGATCTTCGAAACAGCTTGCAGCGTCTTCGTCTGGGGGACAAGCCACACGTTTAATATGGTAAGTGAGTATCATATTTCAACAGTGGAACGGCATCTGGTGAGGAGAGCTGAAATTCTATTTTAGACCTGAAGCAATGGGCGTTATAGAACTCATCGCCCAGACCCCATTAAAGACTGGTACTTGATCAAAAATGGGCAGAGTTATGTCGTACGCTGATGTACATGTGCTTTGTCCGGGTACCCTGTAGATAATTTTTTTGCCTCCGGAATGGTTGATACCAGAGGTCTGTATTATGTAGCGTTGTATCAATTTTAATATCACTGCTATGGCGCATCAAAAGCTTGAAGTTTTGATTTCCTTGGCTTCGTGGCTCCAATTGGGTGTTGCCATCAACGTTGGCGAAGCATGGCTGACCAAAAATTGCCAGAGTTTAGTCTCTCTCATGTTGATTCACTTGATCAAAATTTGAGAAAGTTCTTATTTATGTGTCAGGTCTGTTGATATTTGAGTTTGTTGGAGGACAGCATTTAGTGGCAAGTTGCTGTTGGCTCAGAATTATATCAGAACTTCGGTTTTAACAATGTTAGTTACCTGCCATATGCAAGTGAACCTTGTTTGGATTTTACACGGCAGTGCATTTTTTCCCTGCTCCCCTTAGTGTTGTACTTCTTCTGCATGTTTAATTCTTCTATTAAATGGGCTCATCCACAACTTCATTTTTGGATGCAATGGTCCTCAAATTAGGAAAGAATATGGGAAAGTTATTCAGCTAATTCTTTACGTATTTAGTTTTAAAAGGCATTTTAAGGTACTAGTTTATAATTTAATTATGGCGAACTTATGTAAGGCCACAAGATCTTTTTCATTGTGGACTAACTTTAGAAGGGGATCCTATATAAAGTTCTGATTCTATTCCAGTTGAGCATAATTATGTTTTTTGTTCTATTAATATTCTTTTGATATTTGTTATTCACCCTTGTTACATGTCTTTTTCATGTGAAAATATGATTTATGTGTTAGGATTAGAATAGTTAATAACAGAGCTTAAATACATAGGATAATTTAATAAAAAATGTTAGATTAAATAAGAATAGAAGAATTAAACATGCAGAAGAAATACAGCACTAAGGGGAGTAGGTATCTCATACAAATTGTAAAGGCCATAGGTAATTGGAACAGGAAATTGGCCTAAATTGGAAAATTATTTTAAGTCGATCCAATAGCAGGGTATTAAATTAGGTTTTGAGATGATTAAGCAATGGAGGGTCAACTTGTGGCAAAAAAAAAATATTCTTCGGTGGCTTGCATTTATAAAAAAAACCCAATGGGAGGTGACATGGAATCAAATCTAGGATGGCAAGAAGTAATTATTTAAAGGATGGTTGGAATTAAAATCACAAGTTGATTGGGCTAGCAAACAAAGGTTGGTTTAGCAAGGTCTTAAGAATGAAGAATCTTATCCTTGTTAAAATCCCAAGTTTGTAACACTTGATCTCTAAAATTGATTATCATTAAATTAAAGCATACCCTCAAAGAAAAGAATCTACAAAGAAAGGCCTCCAACTAGAATTACAATTGTCAAAAGGATCCCACGTTTGCAAGAGGTGGATGGATCTCTACTTTGCATAGAGTAGCTACTAGTTTAGTAATTGATATAGCCACTAAATTACTATTTATGGTATTGACAGAGCTTATTTGGGAATTGCATTCTTTAATGACCTTAATTGGTAAAATACAATTTTGTTTAATTTAGAAGGAAGAAGGTAGATTAAAGTAGGCTAAGATTGATATAAATATCACATAGGAGACTTTGGAAGTGTGGTTATGTGGTTATTGCACATATAGTAGTTATTTTGGAGAAACCAATATTTTGAATCCCTCTTCTATTACCAATCAAAGTTACACTTTCTACTTAATTTTGACAAAGCATTGAAGTGACATGTGTTTTTGGAGGATAAATGAAGTAAAAACATACCCACCTTATCATTGATGTAATAGCAATGAGTTGAAGCGTGTACTAATTTGATGTCATATTGTAATACAACAATGTGGTGAAAATATGAATAAAAACAAATTTTCAATTATTACTCTATAATTTTATTTCAATAAGAATCTAAAAAAATTAAACAAGGCTTTATGAAATCCTCCTAATTTATTTTGATTGTCTTAATATTTAATTTGTTAAATGATAAAATTAAGGTAGATTAGGTAAATAGTCAATATGATCAATTCTAAGGTAAATCTAAGTATAGGGTTGTGCTAGGAGAATCCTAAGGTTATATTGATTAATACTTGAGAGACGATTGTTTGTGAGTCATGGTCAAAATCAAACACCAATTACTACAATGGTTACCTAAGGCATAACATAGAAGTATTTAGAAATCAGCTTATAGAAAAAGGAAAGCTAACTTCAAGCTTATTTTAATGGCAAGATGCATGTTATATTTGATTTTGGAATGACTTTAAAAGAGCTATTTAAAGTCAAGGTTTGTATTGGCAATAAGGATTTTGTTCAATTAAATTTGAGCTAGCATTCTTAGCTAGTTTATACATTTTGAGAAATATCTATAAATAGATTTTCTTTAGTACATGATTTCTTGAGTATAATAGATGTGTATAGAAATTTATGCCATTATGACATTGCAAATAAGAAATATCTAACTAAAATTGCAAAGAAGTATTAGGTTTAGGATATTTTACAGTTGATTAGAAGCTTTGTAATATTTGAAGATATTTTAGTTAGAATGAGATAAAATTCAACACACAACTAGGAGCTTTAAAAATCAAGCTGCAAATTAACTTTGAGCCGAAATTAATAATTACAAAAGAAAAAATTTATGCTTGAATTTCTTCATCAACTTTCAAGTTGGGAGCTATAAGACATTAAAATGGTATTTTTGCTTTTTCACATAATTTATAAATTGAATTGGGTTGAATATAAATATTTATGTAATTTATATGTATCTTTAAATTACTAAAATTAAATTTTAATACCAAATTTAGGATTTAGGATTTAAGATTTGAAATTAATATAATATTGTTTATATAGTGGTTAATTAAAGTTGTGATGTAAATCACATTCTCATTAATAACAAATCAATATTATAGTACAAAATTTATTATCTTCATAGAAAAAAATAAAATTAATTTTATTTATTTCTATATCTAAAAGGTTATTCAGTAATTTATTAATATCTACTTTTTAATCAATTTATATAGAAATAAATAAATATACATATAAATTAAGAATAAAATTTACTTGATTATGTAATAAATTACTTCCAATTAATCAATAAGGTGATATAAATTATTAATATCTAAGGTACTTAATGCCATATAAAGATGGCTAACATTAACTTCTTTGGTGCAGATACTTCTATTGAGACCTTAATTCTTTAAAAATAACAGCCAATATCTTATAAAAATATATTTTAATTATATTTATAAAATTTAAATATCTGTATAGAAAAAAGTTGGAGTTATATAATGCTATGACAAATTTTTGGAGAGAAAGCATTTAGAAGAGTTTTTGGTATAACATTTAACATTCTATAAGTATATATATATATATTTAATTCTATAATGACAATATATAAAAAAAAAACGTATTTATTTTGATTGAAAATATTAATTTTTTTCTTTAATAAGAATTTAATTATAAATTCTTTTCTTTAAATAGTGATAATCTTAATAATTACTATATATATATATAAATATATATATTGAGTTATATTTCAAGTTACTATGCTTTATATGATAGAGTATTTATAATAAAATTATAAATAAATAAGGTGGTAGAATAAAACAATAAAAGTTAAAATAATAATACTTTAATTTATTCCATTACTTGAGCCATTTTCAAAAAATACAAAATAAAATAAAACATAATTTAGAATTAGAATAAGGACATACTTAGTAAAGCTACAAATATTGAAACCAATTCTAATCAAAGTTATTATATCTTTACAACTATTTCTTTTTAAAAAAACTACTAAAATTTTATCTTTAAATATAAATA